TACCTTGCACTTCTAAAGGTTCTAAACACAACTTCTTGACCCGACTCAACAGTTTTTGTTCCGTAAATTTAAGGATTGTTCCCATCTGTATTAATGAACTGTTCTACTTACTAAGTGGAAAATCGCAGTGGACCTTGGGATCGCGCCTTACAATGGCGCCAGCACCACTGATTAATTGATTTATTAATAAATAAATAAAAATACAAAATAAAAACATCAATCAATCATTTAATCAATCAATCAATAAATAGATAATTAAATAAATAATAGGTTTGCGTTTTAATCATTGATTAATAAGTTTGCGCTGATTAATCATTGTTTAACACACATTAATCACAGCACATTAAATATGTTTATCAACATCAACAAGCCTCCGACAAAAATACCAGCATTACCTAGGAAACACTTAAAAGTGCATACTAAGAGCGTTGTTAAAGTCACCGCTGAACCGTGTTTCACAGACGGCACTTTGACAGCCAGTGATTTTTAAAATAAAAAAAATCAGTTGGAGAGCTATGTAAATATGACTTGGGGGGCGCCAATTGACTCGCCCTACCATAAATAATTTATTGTAGCCTATTCTTTTTTATTATTATTTCTCGTAATCGCTGCGGTATATGCTTCCCTAACACGTCAAATTTCAACGCAGCGGCTCCGGTCAGAAGTGTCAGCTGCGTCGTTTCAGGACTGTCTGTTGTGGAATTACAAAATAAGAGCCCCCACAACTTCCGTATATATGCTGTTTTGTCTTTAGTAACTACATAAAAGAATGCACATTCTCCTGTCTCAAGCCTCTATGCCAATAAGCTCTGCTGTATTATAAACCAATGAAATTTGGGGGTGTGTCGCCATAATAACTAAAAGCGGACTCCCCTTGTTTTGTGTGAACCCTTGGTATTTCTAACTGACTTGATCCTAATGATCTGAGTGGTCTGTTAGGTTTATATTCAGTGAGCATATCTGCTATGTATTTAGGACCTTGGCCATTGAGTGATTTATAAATGAGTAAGAGTACTTTAAAATCAATCCTAAATATTACTGGAAGCCAGTGTAAGGACCTGAGGACTGGTGTGATATACTTAGATTTTCTGGTTCTCGTCAGAATTCTGGCAGCAGCGTTCTGGATGAGCTGCAGCTGTCTAATGGTCTTCTTGTGAAGGCCGGTGAGAAGACCATTACAATAGTCCACCCTGCTGGTGATAAAGGCATGAACAAGTTTCTCCAAGGCTTGACTGGAAACAAAACCTCTAATTCTTGCAATGTTTTTGAGATGATAGTATGCTGATTTAGTTACAGCTTTGACATGACTACTGAAACTAAGGTCTGTCTCCAAAATCACACCAAGATTCTTGACTTGATTTTTAGTTGTTTGACCCCTAAAGTCAAGGTATGAGTCTTCTTTTTCGTGGTATTATTCCAGTCCCGAAAAGTTTTTAGTTTTTGCTGATCTGCTGGAGTTAGAATCTTAGAAAAATCTGAGAAAAGTACATAAACAGAGAGCAAAGCTCAGAGCAGTAAGCAAGAGCGTCCGAACAGTAGCAAAGCCGGAAGCATTTAAAAGCGCTGCGTAATGGATGACAGCAGATTGGTGCAAGAATTTGAAATATCAAGTCATTACTCATAGTTTGCAACAAAGTTTGATTATTAATAATAGATCTATCACATGTTTTGTGATGAATATAGCAGTGAATGATGAAATATGGACAGTAATATCACAAATGCTTCATATTGTAATAAACAAATTCAACATAAAAAAGAAAAGAAACGAAAAGAAAACCTCATTATTACACCCAACACTTGTCAGCAAACTAAAAATAAGTATTCATTTTAAGTAACTTTAAGTAACACATTTTATCCCAAAGTCTACAGGTGTAGAAACCATTTTCTCAATGAGCAGGAATCTGCAATCACCTTACAATAGAACAGGGGAAAAAACAAACATTATATTGTCTGAATGCAAGGCATTATCTTTGTAAAGCAGAATGATTTGCATTGTAAAAATTGATATACAAACGCAACAAAAGTAAAAAAGGAAAACTAAAATGTATACTGTATTTTAATTACAAGCATTTTAATTTGATAAAATGAATTAATAATCACTTAAATTACATTTACTCATAAATTATATTTACTCAAATGATTGTGATTCAATGTCTCCAGTGGTTCAAAATCATCTCTACGTTTCTGAGAATCTGATTAATTATTGTTAGATTGTGACTTCTGTCTTCTCTTCTGTTGAAGACTTCTGGATCTGATGTCATAAACCAGCACAGCAACAGTAGCCACACCCACCAGAGCAGAGAGAGCCAATCGGATCACAACTTCAGTAGAACCACAGCAGTAGATACAATCTTATAAGAGAGGAAATTAGCGACATAAAACATAGAAATTTGATTAATGTACTATGTAGAAAAATATAATGTCGCTGACAAACCTAAATGTGTGTGACAGAGTCCACTGATGTTGAGATGTTGAGTCTGGTTAGTGAATGAATTGTTGAGCACACAGCTGTAGGTGTTTTTCTCCTGATATTCCACCTCCAGAGGTAGAGAGAGACTGATGCTGAGATCAGACACACTGATGCTGGACAATAAACTGTTTCCTTTGAACCAGGAGAGAGTCACTTGACTCACATTCACCACTGAACACAGCAATGAACAATTCTGGTACAAGCTCAGAACAGAACAGTCTCTGCTGATGACGGGAACGAGCAGACGAGCTGGAGAATATTGGAGAATTATTCAGTTTGTAAAACTGGTTTGTTGGTTAATTGATATTTAAAATTGATTTAAAACATTTAAGAAACCAGTGTTATAAAAGGCTGATTATTACATTACTAATCCTCTATCATTTATAATATTAGTAATTATGACACTGATTCATGTCAAAAGACACACACACACACACACACACACACACACACACACACACATATGTATATGTAAAAAACAGGGAAGCAATTCAGTAATTCTCTACTCACCATAGACAGTAAGACTGAAGATGTTGAGTGGGGTCCCTGAGCTTTTTCTGGTGACTTTATAAAGTCCAGAGTCTGTGGTTCTGGTGTTTGTGATGCTCAGAGATCCAGTCTGATGATCAAGCTTCAGTCTGTCTCTGAATCTCCCATCAGCACTATCCTCATAAAACCTGCTCTTATTGTCCTTCCCGTAGATTTTAGCTATCATAATGTTTTCAAATTTCCACGTTATCTCATCGTCTCTCTGTATTTCAGTAAGATCAGAGTTTAGACTTACTGATTCTCCCTCTGTTACTGACACTGACTTCACTGACTCAACACCAAACACACCTGATGAAAAAACAGACATAATTACTGAGAATCCAGAGATTTCAGATTTTGAGTTTTTGTCATTTTTACACTATTCTCTTCATTCTTTACAGAAGTATTTAAGTAGGTTTAGTCTGAGAAAACTTGTTTTTATCAAGGGAAAATGAATGATGGCAAAAATAAAGAACAAAATTATCTGTATGTAGACAAATGGTAATATAAAGAGAACTGAAGCCATATTTACCAGCCAGATTCCATGAGAACAAAAAGGAGAAAATAAACATGTCAAACATTTTCTTCAGCAGATCTCCTAACAGTTTCACAACAGAAATATTACAATGATCAGGTCCTGACACTCTTGAAATATTGAATGAAGCTGTCATTCTGTAGTGAAACTCTTCAGTGAGTGTGAATAAACTCCTCCAGTAGCTCCTCCCATCACAGGTAGACCTATTTCGGTAATTATTTAAGTTTGAGAACAGTTAATAATGACCTATGTCTTTCAGACTTATGCATTGAATAATAATTATGCATTGTTTTCTTTCTTAAAACTGAATTAATCTGTTATTTCAGTCCTTCTTGAATTTACAAGTTTCTGATTTTATATTGATGACATGTTAGTTAAGCAATTTTGGGAGTGGGATTTCTTCCAGATTTTCAGCACGATTGAAAATGTGATGTGATTTTGATTGCATTACAGTTTGATTAACAAAAAGTTAATAGCTTACACTTTAGACATACATTGTCTGTTTTTGCTCCTTTAACGAAAACAGTTCCAAACAAAGTCACAGCAGAACCCCAGTAAATGCTAATCTACATAAACTACATGAAAAAATGTTTTCATGAAACGAGAAGGTTTCAGGTCTCCCTGTGCTTTTCTGACAAGAAAAAAAAGCAAAGGAGAAGAATAATAAGAAGAAATAAGATTTTGACATATTGACTTGGAGTTAAGATATTAGTTTAAGAGGCTGTTTACGTTTGCATGATCTCTCTGTGTTAATGTGCCCTTCTGTGACCCTACTGTACACAGAAGTACAGTAGAGAATGGATGGGTCACTACAGAAATCCCTCAGTGTATTCAAAGAACCACTTATATAAGCTGAAGATTATGTTGAAATTGATTTAATTACAGTGGCTTCATATTATTCCCTGAGAACCCATGGCACGTCTGTGTGTTTTGAATCTGACAGACTAATGGCCCAGAGCTTCATTTTTGCTTTAATAATGGAAAAAGTTTAAATATTGTTTTTTAGAAAGAGTTCACCTTCTCTTTCCTTCTGTCTGTAGTTCAAACAGTGTCATTTTGAGAAGTCATATTCAGTCAGTGAAGGGAGGAGCAACTGGATGAGTTTATTCACACTGACTGCAGAGCTTTACTAAACCACTTCATTACAGACCGACAGCTTCATTCAATTTATGAACAATTCAAGGTTTACTATCACAGTTCCGTTGTGAAGCTGCCTTGCAAACTGCTGAAGAAAATGTTAATTTGCATATTTTTGTTTTCACGGAGTCTGGCTGGTGAGTATTTGCATGGCTTCAGTTTTATTTATATTAAAAGTTGTCCACAAATATATTTATTATTCCATCATTTATTTTGCCTTTAATATGAACAAGTTTTGTCAGACTAAACTTACTTAAATACTTCTGTGAAGAATGAAGACAATAGTTTCAAAATTAAAAAAACGTTCAGAAATTATTTTACTCAGTAATTATGTCTGTTTTTTCATCAGGTGTGTTTGGTGTTGAGTCAGTGAAGTCAGTGTCAGTAACAGAGGGAGAATCAGTAAGTCTAAACTCTGATCTTACTGAAATACAGAGAGACGATGAGATAATGTGGAAATTTGAAAACATTATGATAGCTAAAATCTACGGGAAGGACAATAAGAGCAGGTTTTATGAGGATAGTGCTGATGGGAGATTCAGAGACAGACTGAAGCTTGATCATCAGACTGGATCTCTGAGCATCACAAACACCAGAACCACAGACTCTGGACTTTATAAAGTCACCAGCAAAAGCTCAGGGACCCCACTCAACATCTTCAGTCTTACTGTCTATGGTGAGTAGAGAATTACTTACCCGGTTTTTTTATACTCATCTTTTGATAATAATGACTATCAGAATTATTACGAATATTGTCAAATAATAGACAATCATGTGATGATAGATTTATATTCCTGTGCATTTGATGATATAATAATTTTATAGAGTTTTTTCCTCATAACTTTGTTCTCAACTTATGTTCTCTGCAACTTTATTTACATTTTAAATATCAAATGACAGACAATTATCACATCATATTATTATACTGCATTGTATTTATCCCCTCATGTTTTCAGCTCATCTGCCTGTTCCCGTCATCACCAGAGACTCCTCACAAAATTCTTCTTCATCATCATCATCATCATCATCATATTGTTCATTGGTGTGTTCAGTGGTGAATGTGGGTTATGTGACTCTCTCCTGGTACAAAGGAAACAGTTTATTGTCCAGCATCAGTGTGTCTGATCTCAACAGAAGTCTTTCTTTACATCTGGAGTGTCTGGATGATTCCTACAGCTGTGTGGTGAACAATCCCATCAGCAACCAGACACAGCATCTTAACAACACTGAACTCTGTCAGCCATGTTCAGGTACTTCTGTGATAATATTTAATGTTTATGTACACACTCACTCACACTAATGACACTCTCCTTCACATCCTCCAGATGTGATAGTGTTGGTCTCTGCTGCTGCTGCTGCTGGATCTCTGTTGATCGTAGCTGCAGTTGGGATCTTCTGCATCTGCAGGAAACACAGAAAAACAGACAAAGAAGGCAAGTATTGCCTACTTTTACCTACTGCATGTGTGTGTATAATAATATAAAACAATACTCAAATATCAGTTCATTGAGAATTTTGTTTCTGTTATATTTTGTTACAGTTCAGACCCGTGATAGAGAGATCACTTACGCTGATCCCACATTTTACAAAAGACATAAATCGGTAAGCGTATCTATGATGTTTATGTATTATTTTAGCAGTGAGTCCATTTTAAGTGTGTGTTTAGTGATTTACTCTGATACATTTATATTGTAGGGTCACACAAGAATATCATTTAAAGACATTACAATATCGCCATATCACAAACTCTAACATGTCATCCAAGACACATGTATTCCCACCAAAATGTGAAATTATATTATAGGCAAATTTTAACCTAATTAAAATATTTAATCAAACAAAGAAAGAGAGAAATACTGAAATATTCCCTCCATATGTAACACAATCTCATGCCAATTCATAAGTAAATTATGTTCTGGTGAAGTGGTTGGTAATTTATCTAATTCATCTGCTTACACCCCATAATGAGAATGTTTACACGTGGACCTTCATGCTCACATTTTTGTAATAATGGTAAGTTTTTGTATGATTCACCGTACAAATTCATATGAAATCTCCACGTCGTAACATAGTTACATTTTCCTGTGAGATCAGATTGTCTGTTCTCCAAACTTCTTGGAACCTGGTTTGAAGAAAATAGCAGTTTTCTGCTGAGATGATTGTTACTGTATGTGCAAAAATGGATAAAGACTGGTCTGTTTGTAGATCAGCAAATATAAAGCAAAATGCTTTTTATTTAAACATGCGTCTTTTAGCCTATATTTAAAACTATATTCCAAAAATAAATAAATAAATAAATATAAATATTTTGCACATAATATACCTGTACATACAAAACTGTCTATTGTAATATACCTGCACATACAACTGTTAATTTATATATTGTTATTCCTTATTTACTTGTTCTAGTTTTTTTTATTCCTTACTTACTTGTTCTATTTTTAATTTATTTTTATTTTTTATTATCTGTGTTTTTTTTGTTCTGTCACTGTCATTCTGTTACACTGTGGAAGCTTCTGTTATGAAAACAAATTCCTCGTATGTGTAAATCAATAAAGCAATAAAGCTCATTCTGATTCTGATTCTGATTCTGATTCTGATATATATATATATATATATACACACACACACACACACACACACACACACACACACACACACACACACACACACATACATTTTAGAGTATTCTTGTCAAGAAGAGGTCATAAATAAGTTCTTGATAAATAAGTCAGTGAATGTTTGTGTTTTCTTTCAGAGTGCTACAGAACAGGATAATGTGGTGTACGCAGGAGTCTCAAGACGTTGATCAAGTCATCAAAATGTGATTCTGTTTTTGGATAACTTTCTACACCCCAAATACAGAGACAGGAGACAGAATCACATGTTCTTTGTGAATACAAATATATGCCCGTTAAATGTCATTATGTCATAGTTACACATACATTTGAAAAAAAAAAAAAAGCATTGCAAAAGGGAGTTTTCACAGTGATGGCAAATGACTTTTTAAGAGTGTTTTTAAGAGTGTCAGACAGGGCTGGACTGGAGTTAAAATTCAGCCCGGGAAAAATCCAGCCCATTCGGCCTACAATTTCCCTATGAATGTTTTGCTGGGGTTAGGGCCTTGAAATAGGACAGAAACAAATAATAATAGATATTATTGAATTGACTGCATTTTCTTCACATAGAAATGCACATTTAAAAGTAAAACAAATTTTGAGCTAGGATGCAGTAAAGTTAATTAAATCTTGAGGCTTGTTTGTATTTGTCACTTGGTGTTTGTTGTTGAAGAAGAGTTGCCTTAGATACAAAAATAATTTCCAAAAGAACAATAAACTAAATTAAACTCCTTAATAGCAATAGAATTTTTAAAAAGTTAATTTCTAATTAATGTAAGACACTGATGTTAATCTTTCATCATTAATATTTTACTTTAACAATTAAAATTTATTAGAACTAAACATATTTAAAGAGAAGAAAGCATTTGACTGAATTAATGGGATCCACGAGTTAAAGCTCCTTTGTCAAATTATCATTTTAAGATACACTATCAGTCAAAAGTTTTTGAATATATTTTAAAATGTAATTTATTCCTGTGATTTCAAAGCTGAATTTTAGCATAATTACTCCAGTCACATGATCCTTCAGAAATCATTTTAATATTCTGATTTGCTGCTCCAAAAACATTTATTATTATTGTTACTGTATTATTATTATGCTGAAAACAGTAGAATTTTTAGGTTTCTTTGATAAATAGAAAGTTCAGAAGAACAGCATTTATCTGAAATAGAAGTCTTTTGTAACATTATAAATGTCTTTATCATTACTTTTGATTAATTTAAAGCATCCTTGCTAAATAAAAGTATTAATTTCTATAACCCCCCCCCCCCCAAAAAAAATAAAATAAAATAAATAAATAAAACATTATACTGACTCAAAGCTTTTGAATGGTAGAGTGTATAATGTTACAAAAGTTTTTTATTTCAGATAAATGCTGATCTTTTAATCTTTCCATTCATGAAAGAATCCTGAGAAAATGTACTCAATTGTTTTAAATATTGATGATAATAATAATAATAATAATAATAATAATAATAATAATAAATGTTTCTTGAACAGCAAATCAGCATATTAGAATGATATTGGAAGGATCATGATGCTGAAAATTCAGCTTTCCATTACAGAAATAAATTATCATTTTAAAATATATTCAAATAGAAATCAGTTATTTTAAATATTACAAATATTTCACAATATTTCTGCATTTGCTGTACTTTGATCAAATAAATGCAGGCTTGGTGAAAAGAAGAGAATTCTTAAAAAACATTACAAATCTTGCTGTTCAAAAACTTTTGACTAGTAGTGTATAATTTAAACTTTAATTTAAAAAACATTTAATTTTAAAAATAATTATCATTTTAAATTGAATTGCTCTAATGAAAAGTTACCATAGTTCTTGCCTAGAATCCAGAATGTAACTGTTCTATTAGTAAGATCACGGTAGTCAGGTAAAATCATGCTTCTCATATGTATGCTTTCTAAAAAAACGAATAATATTTTCAAATAATAGTAATAACAACAATAACAAACAACTATGGAATCTGTGGGGAAAAAAATCTTAAACATATCTAGAAACTAAGAAAACAACCTCTATTAAAGTGGCATCACTTTTGCAAGAGAGTGCAAAATATTTTATATATATATATATATATATATATATATATATCATATTTCCTCACCATGTCTCTTTAGGAGCTCCATATGCTTATGATAAAGATAATGAATGAAAATAATATAACAAATAACAGTTTGCAGTATCAAGCATCACAGTGGACAGTTTCTGTACAGCTAAAATAACTGGAAGCAGATGAGGTTCAGAAGCCTCACACATTCAAGCTACAATGGCTACACTGCTTTAATGTAAAAAATTAGGTGGATAAAAAATCTCTCTTGCTTCACCGATCAGTCCTTTACTCAACCGCCCCGCCGGGAGTGTGCTCCTGATGGCCAGTAGGCCTATATTCCTGCATATACAAAAAATAAAAATAAACAAATAATTAAAAATAAATAAATAAAATCACCTGGCTAAAGAAACCCCTGAATTAAAGATGATCTGCCCCCGTGACTGTCTAAGAATCACTGTTGTTTCAAATGTACTTCTATTGGTTACATTTAACGTTTCTGGGAGTTTATGAACATTAATGTGATAATAAAACAAGGTCAAAAGGTCAAACATTATAACATTATCCCAGTTAAAAATGTGATATTAATGGATTATAAATCATGGCTTTTGGGCAGTGTTTTTGTGCTATTTATGTTTGTGTTAATATCAATATTTTTGTCAGTCCTGTGTGTCTCTGCTGATACAGATGAATCTGCTGGAGCGCCACCTACTGGATAAACATGTTATTTCACTAACAGCTCCTCAGTCACATATTATATTTTATAATGTACAATTTATTGAAAAGCTGGTATGCATCTGTATTTCATATATATTTTTAATTTATTTAACCTGTTTCTGTACAATGTTAAATAAATTTATAAGAATATAGATTCTTTAAATATATTCTTTAGGCCTCTTTCCTGGCCTTTGGAGGAAACAAAAAAGAGTATCAAACATTGCAACATATGCATTTGTACCATCATTACTATTGAACTATTGAAATCTCATGTATAAAAAGTGTTAAAACTATTGAAATCTCAGGTATAAAAAGTGTTAAAACTATTGAAATCTCAGGTATAAAAAGTGTTCAAATAATGAAAAATCTCAGGTATAAAAAGTGTTAAAATAATTAAAAATCTCAGGTATAAAAAGTGTTCAAATGGATTCAGAATAAAGTGTCTTTAAGTAGCTTTCACATGAGCACCCAAAAGGACTAATATAACAATTGAGGATAGCAGATCTATACAGGATGTGCCACTGGAAATAACATCCACTGCTTTTTATGACATAAAACAAAATCACTTTATATTGCTCCTGGATTCTGCATCTTCTTTCTTTGCGTGCACATTTGGGCGGCATTATGCTAATATTTCCACATAGTGAGGTAGATATGTGGGGGCGTGTTAGAACGAGCTGTTTTAGGGGGGCGTGGCAGAGTCTTAACTTTGATAAAGAATATCTCTTTGGTTTTGAGACTTTAGTCTTTGCAACTTCAGGGATCTTATCTATGCACAATCAGCTTGTAACAGTCCAAAGAGAAAGGAAAACTTGAAATCGCATCATATGACCCCTTTAAAAAAATATTAAACTACGTTTGACTGATATATATATATATATATCATATTTCATCACCATGTCTCTTTATGAGCTCCATATGCTTATGATAAAGATAATGAATGAAAATAATATAACAAATAACAGTTTGCAGTATCAAGCATCACAGTGGACAGTTTCTGTACAGCTAAAATAACTGGAAGCAGATGAGGTTCAGAAGCCTCACACATTCAAGCTACAATGGCTACACTGCTTTAATGTAAAAAATTAGGTGGATAAAAAATCTCTCTTGCTTCACCGATCAGTCCTTTACTCAACCGCCCCGCCGGGAGTGTGCTCCTGATGGCCAGTAGGCCTATATTCCTGCATATACAAAAAATAAAAATAAACAAATAATTAAAAATAAATAAATAAAATCACCTGAACCCCTGAACCCCTGAATTAAAGATGATCTGCCCCCGTGACTGTCTAAGAATCACTGTTGTTTCAAATGTACTTCTATTTTAACGTTTCCTTCTATTTGTTACATTTAAAGTTTCTGGGAGTTTATGAACATTAATGAGATAATAAAACAAGGTCAAACATTATAACATTATCCCAGTTAAAAATGTGATATTAATGGATTATAAATTATGGCTTTTGAGCAGTGTTTTTGTGTTATGTTTGTGTTAATATCAATATTTTTGTCAGTCCTGTGTGTCTCTGCTGATACAGATGAATCTGCTGGAGCGCCACCTACTGGATAAACATGTTATTTCACTAACAGCTCCTCAGTCACATATTATATTTTATAATGTACAATTTATTGAAAAGCTGGTATGCATCTGTATTTCATATATATTTTTAATTTATTTAACCTGTTTCTGTACAATGTTAAATAAATTTATAAGAATATAGATTCTTTAAATATATTCTTTAGGCCTCTTTCCTGGCCTTTGGAGGAAACAAAAAAGAGTATCAAACATTGCAACATATGCATTTGTACCATCATTACTATTGAACTATTGAAATCTCATGTATAAAAAGTGTTAAAACTATTGAAATCTCAGGTATAAAAAGTGTTAAAACTATTGAAATCTCAGGTATAAAAAGTGTTCAAATAATGAAAAATCTCAGGTATAAAAAGTGTTAAAATAATTAAAAATCTCAGGTATAAAAAGTGTTCAAATGGATTCAGAATAAAGTGTCTTTAAGTAGCTTTCACATGAGCACCCAAAAGGACTAATATAACAATTGAGGATAGCAGATCTATACAGGATGTGCCACTGGAAATAACATCCACTGCTTTTTATGACATAAAACAAAATCACTTTATATTGCTCCTGGATTCTGCATTTCGTTACATGTATTCATGTAACTAACAATGTTTGTCACCTTTAATATATATATATATATCATATACATACATATATACACATATCACATATCATTATGTGTAATAAGATTTTGGTTAAATAGCCCACCCCTAGTTTATATATATATATGTTTTTTTTTAAAGGTGACAAACTTTGTTCTCATCATACCTGTGGGTATTTCTGTTGAAAACATACTGCTAATCAGTTCTAGGAAGATGTTGACCACTGGAGTGAAGA